TCATTAATTGTCATAATTTCAATTATTTCATATTACATGTCATTATTCAAAAAACAAATTTATTCCTCTTGGAAGAATCTTTATTCTTAATAGAAAATTAGGTAAACTGCGAATCCAAGCTTGATGGAAGCTATTGGACGATATTAGGAATAACCTATAACCTATTCCGACAATACATGTACAGTTTAACCTTGCAAGTGGTATTTTGACACCTCTAAGTGAGCGGTATTTTTTTGTTGTATTCATTTATTTTATAATCTTGTTAACAATTTTTTGATTGTTGCTCCGTTACAAGTTCTTTGATCTTATTTTGCAAGTACTTGTGATATATCATTTTGCTTGATAAAACTAATAGATCAGTCCTCGTAACTATTTAAAACATTTAACTATTCAAAGATTCCCTTTTAGAATACAATAATCCTACAGTGTCTCGACAAGGACATGACTCAAGTTTGAGGTGAATACTTTATTCTTTTAAACAATCTCCATTAACAGAATATGACTCAGTCTGTGATCATACTCCGCACCGTCGCGAATTTATTAACTATATGCAATAATCAGTATAATCACCGTAAAACTAGTTTTTTGTGGCAAAATCAGTTGTCGTCTACATCGACATACTTTATTGTATGTATTTGTGTATGCGTGTCGCCGGTCAGTGAGTCAAAAATATTTCAATAAGCCCTCGAAATGGATATGGAAACCGAAGATATTATGTGGAAGCAAATATATAACAAATTGCAGGCCCAAAAAAGTGAGGAGCACGTACATACCGACCATGAAGTTTTGTAAGTTATGTCATTTACACTAAATATTTCATAAAATTGTTTATTTATACGTATTAGATTTTCCTTAGACGTTAGACGTTTGCAACTAGGTCAATCAATGAAACTAAAATCTAAGACATAGGCGGAGTACTACATAAGTTACTATATATATATATATATATATATATATATATATATATATTATATATATATATATATATATATATATATATATAAATATATATATATATATATATAATATAAATATATAGAATAAAAGCTATAATACTATATATAATATATAGTATAAAAGCGATACGTGTTTAGCCTGTGATTCACTACTAAATATTAGGTATGTTTAAATAAGAATAATGAATCTGGGCCCAAAAATCTCTCAAAGTTACAACAAACACGCACACAGACAATGTAGCAAAACCTTCAAGACAAAATTTATAAAATGAAAAAATGTACACAACCGAAATAATTTCATTTGACTTTTAACAGATCTTACCCTTGCTAATAATGGCGATATGGATGCTAATTATTGCTAATAATTGCTAGTGTAAGTACTTTCGAACTATTATATAGCCAGTAAACCATCAAGATTGAAAACCTTGTTGTCTTTACCGATTTACGGAGGCCAAAATAAGAATTAGCTAATAATGACGTTATGGATGCAATCATTTAGATAAAAAAACTTTAGAAAGTGTTTTCTCCAAAAGAATGGTTTGAAATTGTGAGAAAATTAAAGAGAACAAATCCATTTGCAGAAGTTGAAATGTCTCAGGAAGATTTTTATAGTTGTTATAAGATAGTTATAACAAAAAAAACATATCTATACAGCCCTTGCTGTCCAATTTTGGACATAGGCCTCCTCTTCCTTCTTCCACATCTCTTTATTGTAGGCAGTTTGTATCCACTTCGGGCCTGCGTGTTTCTGTCTTATGGTATGTCCAGCGAACTTCCACTTAGGCTTTGCTATCTGCGTTGATACATCGGTCACTTTTGTTTTGTTGCGGATCCAAGTATTTGTTTTCTTGTCTGATAGCCTGATGTTCAGCATTTGCCTTTCCATAGTCGTTGAGGTTATTTATATAAAGCTTTGACACTCAACATTAATAACACACATATAAAATATAACATATAGAATAATGGACAAAATACATTTTAAAATTTAGTTAAGGATAGTAAAACTTCGTTCGTGATATCTTTTAATGGTGTGTTTTAACTGATCCATAGAGAACCTATGGGTTCTTTATGGATTTAAGGCGTCTTAAACAAGACAACACATATGCGGAACCAGTGGCGGCCGGTCAGGGTCGGCAGGGTCGACCCACACCTTTATAGATATTATAGATTTTTTTAATATATAATTTAATCAGTATTTCAATAAATAATTGTGGCAGGTAATCAGTTGATGTCATTTGTTTTTGTGAAATAAAAAAATATCTGTGAGATAATAAAGACTAAATTGTATTCATGGTTTTTAAAATAATTCGTCCAATCTGAGCGTTAAGTGATCCCTGCGTAGACAGTTTTCAAATTGATGATCCGATATCGGAGACATCCATCCGCCTGTAAATTTTTAAAAAGGCACGTTTTGTTTTTTCGGCCAGCCGATCTCAACCTATAGATTTACTTGTAAAAATCAACATAATATTAGTTGATTAGCTACCAAATATACATTTTTTTCCATATGAGCTTAATTACCAAGTACGGCAAATTTAAATTTGCCGATGTTTCATTTGGATTGGTAATTGGTCGCGAACTGTACATCGCGAGCGCGGGATGAAATGTTATTTCATAATATAAGAACGTAAATAGTAAAGTAAAGTGATATTCAGTGCACGAACTAGCCTTTCTTTTTGTGATTTATTTTTATTTTCTAAAGTAATACTGTGATACGTTACGTCTGCCGTGAATAGTTAAAGGTTAAAGGGTTTTTTGACATATTAGAAGTTTTTTTTTAATTAAAGTGTAAGCAAATTCAAGTAAATTAACCTAAAAATACAAGCCATGGTAGAAACTATAAGTATTGATAAGTATGATATTATAAATTATATTTTGCATAATGGGTTTTCATCTATTCCATACGAAGAACAAATTGTTATTAAAAATAAGGGGCGTCCTCTGCCTAAAATGTCCCGGCTTATAAATATTAGTGCGGGTAAGGGAAGTAATAGATCATTTTCAGATAATTGGTACCGCATGGCTTACCGGGAGTGAAATAAAAACAAACTTTTCTGTTGGCCTTGCATTTTATTTTCGACAAATAGGGGCAAACATCAAAATCGTGGTGTGAATCTGGTTACGATAATTTAAAGGAATTATTTAAGGCTTTATATAATCATATTTCGAAAGATCATACTTACAGTCAGATTAAAGTAGATTTATTTGGAAAACAAAATATCTATGTTTCATTAGATAATGCCCAACGTGAAAATGCTATTAAACATAGCGAAATTGTAAAAAATAATCACCCAGTTTTACGTCGTTTAATTGATATTGTAATGTTTTTAAGTTGTCAGTAATTATCTTTTAGGGGACACGATGAATCGGAGCATTCGTTAAATCAAGGTAATTATAGAGAACTAATAAAAATGTTTAAGAAATACGATTTGGAATTTTCTAATTTACTTTCTGATTCGAAGACATTTAGCGGTGTATCTAAAACAATCCAGAATGAATTAATAGAATGAATTAGTTACATTTTGAGTAACGTTATTGAATCTGAGATTCAGGAAACTATTTGCTTTTCACTAGAAGTACATGAAACTACCGACATATCATGTCATTCACAATTATCAATTGTTGTTCGATATGCGTTACGTGGTAATATCTATGAGAGGTTTTTAGATTTTACAGACGTGAGTAAAAGCCATAAGGCAGAATATATTTTTGGTGTTTTAAAGGACAGATTAAAATTTTTTGATATTAAAAATAAATTGGTAGGGCAAACTTATGACGGCGCTGCCGTGATGTCTGGTGAATTAAATGGTCTCCAAGCAAAAGTTAAAACTATTGCACCGCAAGCTTTACCTATTTACTCACTGTCATGCGTATAGAATGAATTTAGTTTTGCAGGATACACGTAAAAAAATTAAAGAATGCCTTTTTTGCCAGTTTAAGCGGATTTGCTTCATTTTTCTCAAACTCGTCTAAGCGGACTAATGTTTTAGAACGATTTGTTTCGAAAAAAATGCCAACAGTTTGTCAGACGCGATTGAATTTTAAATCTCGGTTAGTTTTCACTGTAGCAGATTTTCGTGAACAGCTTTTGGAAGTTTTTGATTTTATTATTGAATGTGACGATTTTATAAGTGATGATATCTCGATCCGTGAAGCAATCGGTTTGAAAACTTTATTAAATGATTACTCTTTTAACATACTTTTAAATATTTTTAAGAAAGTGTTTACCCAAACCGATTTGATATTTAATGTTGTTCAAAATCAGTTAACTGACATTATTCATTCCAAAAATAGAATAACAAGACTGGTGCAAAATCTCAGAAATTTTCGTAATGATCTCAGTAATTTCCAGTATATAGGTACGCAGTGACGTTTTGGACTCGCTTGATATTTCCGAACCCCCAAAAAAAAGACAAAAGCATGACACAGAAACAGATCTCGAAAAACGAGTATATTTTGAAATTTTGGATACTATTATTATGCAAATAGATACTCGTTTTTCGAATTTTGAAGATTTGCAAATTTTTGACCTCTTTGGTTTCACCTGCATTCGTTCAAACTCTAGTTGATTCCCTCTCATACATACATACATACTTGCACCACTTTCACATATTCTCCTTTCTTACTTAATATCCACCACAGTAGGTCTCTGGTAATTTTGTCACATGCCTTCTCAAGACTTTTACTTTCATTCTAAACTGTTTCATTAATTGTGTTAATAATAATATGAAAGATTGCTGTTGTGGACCTGCCTTGCATAAATCCAAATTGACTTTTATTTCTAGAACCATACACTAAAGTCTGTTACATTTCACTATAAATGCAAGATAATAAAAATATTTTGAATTGAATGCTATAAAAAATTGTCTACTAGAAATAACTATTGCTAACCAAATCCAAATAAAACACTAAATAGCCATGTTTAAAATTTCTTTATTCAGAGTAAAATAGTATGACGCCAAATTGACGTGATTTCAACTAAATTTTCAGAGAACAAATTTCTTATAATGTGTTTAATTAAATGCATTTTCAAATTACCTGTCCGAAAAAAACAGTTAACACAATATATCACACTTTTAAAGACTTCTCCCAGTATGTGTTGTCAAATGTGATTTTAAAAATTTTTAAGAAAAAATTTTAAAACAAATATCACACTTGTAAGGATTTTATCCAGTGTGAATACGCAAATGTTTATTTAAAGTACTTTTGTGAACAAACTGCTTAAAACAAATATCACACTTTTAAGGTGCATCTCCAGTATAAATGCGTAAAAGGCTATTTAAAGTACTTTTGTGAACAAACTTCCTAAAACTAATATGACACTTTTAAGGTGTTTCTCCAGTATGAATGCGCAAATTACTATTTAAAGTACTTTTGTGAAGAAACTGCTTAAAACAAATATCACACTTTTAAGATGTTTCTCCAGTATGAATGCGCAAATGTTTATTTAAAGTACTTTTCTGAGAAAACTGCTTAAAACAAAGATCACACATGTAAAGGTTTTTTTCCAGTGTGAATACGCAAATGGTTCTTTAAAGTACTTTTGTAAAAAAACTGTTTAAAACAAATGTCACACTTGTAAGGTACTTCTCCAGTGTGAACACGCAAATGGATTTTCCAATGTCTTTGCTGAGAAAACTGTTTAAAGCAAATATCACATTTGAAACATACCTCTCTAGAGTGTGCCATAAAATGTGTATTCAGATTACTTTTTTGAGTAAACTTCTTAAAACAAATATCACACTTATGTTTTTTCACAGTGTGAAAAGGCAAATGTTTCTTTAAAGAATTTTTCAGAGAAAACTGCTTAAAACAAATATCACACTTGTAAGGTGTTTCTCCAGTGTGTATGCGCAAATGGCTATTTAAAGTAAATTTTTGAGAAAACTGCTTAAAACAAATCTCACACTTGTAAGGTTTTTCTCCATTGTGCACTCTCATATGTGATTTCAAATGACCTACTCCGCTAAACTGCCTAAAACAAATATCACACTTGTAAGGTGTTTCTCCAGTGTGTGTTATCAAATGCGTTTTCAAATACATTTGCTGGGAAAACTGTTTAAAACAAATATCACACTTGTAAGATGTTTCTTCAGCGTGTTTTATCAAATGTGCTTTCAAATTATGTTTCAACTGTTCAATAGAAATTTCACACTTCTGAGGTTTTTCTGCAGCGTGTATCACTATATGTTTTTTCAAGTAAATATTAAGAGAAAATTTCTTAAAACAAATTTCACATTCATAAAGTCCTTGTCCAGTTTGGTTTTTTATATCATTATTTAATGTACTATATTCTTGGTCTTGAATCCTATATTTTTCCTTAAAAGATGAATCTTCTGTTTCTGTTTTTATAATTGTCATGTCATTCTCCTCCTCAGGACAAGCTAAAATAAAAGTCATTTAGACAAATGTTTTGGAAGAAATAAATGGAAGAAACAATTTATAGCACAATAGAACGATAGGCATTTTAAAAGGCTAGTCTATGATATAAAATTGATTAGAGGCACTGCATTTCTGTTGAGTAGACTGCCTACATGATGCATTATGCATAGCATATCTTAATAATAATTGTACAAAAAACAATATCTTCAAACAAATGGAATATATCTAACAATAAATTACTAAAAACTCTTGTTTTCAACGCTTCCACAAAATTGATTATAGTTTATTATCTCTACAGCTGTTTATTATACAGCTGCATAATATTGTCGATAATGAATCATGAACTCTAGAGGTGATGACAAACCAAGAAATGAATATTGAAGAGGAAAAGGTAAAGAAAGCATTAGGGAAATTAAAAAATAGAAAATCACCAGAAGAGGGCAGAATACTAAACGAACTCCTAAAGTATGGAGGGTCAGATCTGACCAAACAACTATTAAAACTAATCCAAAAAATAATGAACAAAACAGAATACCACAAGAATCGAGATCAAGCATATAGATACCTCTCTTCAAAAAGAGAACAAATTGGACCCAGTAAACTACAGAGGAATTAATTTATTAAATACGGCAGTAAAATTAATAACTACAGTGGTAACAAATAAACTGAATGAAATTAAAACACTAGCAGAAAAACAACAAAGTTTTAGGTAGAGAAGATCATGCACCTACACTATATAATGAGACAAATGCAAGAGAAACCATTAGAATACAACAAACTTGCATATATGCTTTATGGACCTTAAGAAAGCATTTAAAAGGGCCAAATTAAACAAAGTTATCCACTTATTGTACACAAGAAAGATACCTCTAGGAATAATCAGAATGTTCAAAAATATCTACCAAAACAACACAATCAAAGTAAAAGTAAAACAAGAAGTAACTGGCCCAATTGAAGCTGGAGATGGGATAACACAGAGAGATTCTTTGAGTTCTGTATTGTTCAACCTGATCACATGATACCAAATGGGAGAAAAATACCTTAAAATAATCTGCTATGCAGATGACACAATTCTACTCTCTCAATGTGAAGACCATTTAAAATGTACACTGCACCAGTTTAATATAACTGCCAGAAAATGTGACATGGTAATTTCCCCAAAAAAGACAATTTGCATGGTTATAACAGCCAATTTATTAGGATGTAAATTGGAGATGGAAAGTCAGATAATAGAACAAGTGATAAAGTTTAAATATCTAGCATCACATCAGCCTCACACTAGCATCACACTATCTAGCTATGGAAACCTTAAAACAGAAGTGGAAGATCTCAAGTAAATAAAGCAAAAAATATATACATAAGACACTATCGGATAAAGCTAAAAGTACAGATATATGATGTAGATGCAAGGTGGAGAATATCAAGGACTTGGTAAGAGATATAAAAGTAGAATAGAATGATCATATTATAGGCCAATCAAGTTAGGTTTTTACTCATCACAAGTGTATAGACTGGTTTGACAGTTGAAATAAGTAGTATGAGATATTACAAAAAGACTCTCATCTAGGGATTCATGAATTTTTTAGTGGAAATATTTTTAAATAAACAATTAAAATGTCAATATCGTTATTTTGCTCATAACTTATAAACTTGTCTATGTAGAGATTTGACGTCTACAGACAAGTTGTTGAGAAAACAAAAATAGACAAAATGAGATATAGTAAATTAAAATCGGTTAATAAACAAAAAAGTTATTGCATAATAACCAAGCAAAACCACTGTTTTTGATTATTGTTAATTACTCTTTTATTAATCAATAAAATTTATTTAAATGTATCTGAACTTAAAGACCTTATCGTGTTCGAAGTGTGTGCGAAAGATAGGCTAGATCCGTCGAATAGTTTTTGCACAATTTAATTTGTTTATAAGATTTTTTGAAAAATGCACAAATTTCTAAGGCCCGTTCAGATAATTTGACTGAATGGATCTTAAAAATCCGGGGCTTATTTTCTTTGTTGAGACATATATTAATATCCTATGGAAAAAAAAGTTAAAAAAAATTACGTTTATGTACACAAAATGATTTAACAATAAACAGCACTTTTTAAGCTTATAAACATTTACATAACTCCGTACTATTTAGTTTAAATTAAATGGCAATACAATATTCGGAAAGCTGGTTAAAAAACACAACTTAAAAAAAAACAGAAAAAGGTCCTGCGACCATTAGGAGCCGAGTTAGTCCTTTTTTTTTTAAATCACTGTTACGTCAATTAACAACATTAAGGGATGAAATTAACCAATCTTTTAGAAGAAAAGTCAAAGTTTTTAACAAAATATTTAGCAAACAAAATAATTGAAAATTGATTAAACAGGAGTGTTGTAAACCAAGAGTACTTTGCGTTCCGACTCAAATGGAAGCAGTGGGGATTGCCGATTGCACTCAAGCCGCGCTCTAAAAAAAGTCGAGCGTCGAGCGCACGTCGAAAGCGGTACAACTCATTTTCCTGCGACTATACAACCGGTTTGTTGTATTGAAATATTTAGTGTTTTGTTTTATTTAATAATTGTTACAAATAATTAATGGTACGTAAAATTCATCTGAATATTAAAAAAAAACTACGTGTTCTGATATATATTAATATAAACACATGGTTGTACCACGTTGTCTGAATAATATACGGTTAACTTTGAATATAATATTATTTTACTATTATAATGTACTAATATTTATGAAATTATTAATGAAGAAGAAAACGATACAACAGATGAACAAGAGATAATTGATGAAATGTATTTAACTGGGTTTGATGAGAATAGCGACAATGAAAATGAAATGATTTATGAAAGTTATAATACAAGTGAAATTGAAGATGAATGTTTACATAGTAGTAGCAGTGACGATATAGAAATTAAGCGTAGAAAATTACAGTAAATTAAATTATTTTAAAAAATCACTACACAAAATTTCAACTTCTGTAATAACATAAAATTAATTTTTTTATTTCATTAATACATTTTTAGTAAACATTATTCAAAATGTTTATTTACTTATAACAGTTATTTAATATAATCATATTTGAAATAAATAAATAGAAAAATAACAATAAAAAGACGACTCAAGAAAAAGTTTGTACATTCCGTAGTCATTAGCTGCTTTGTTTTGAATAATTTTGCAATGAAAGTACGTTAAATGTTATTATTTTAACGTTGTACCCCAGTTTAAAAAAAAAGAACAAATTTGGTCCACTAGAACCCGAGATATGTCATTTTTTTCCAAGCAATCTATTTTGAAACCGTGCGCTTGACTTTTTTGGAGAGCGCGGCTTGTGTGCAATCGGCAATCCCCACTCCTTCCATTCTAGTCGGAACGCAAAGTACTCTTCGTTTACAACACTCCTGTTTAAACAATTTTCAATTATTTTTTTTTGCTAAACATTTTGAGAATAACTTTGACTTTTCTTCTAAAAGATTGGTTAATTTCAGCCCTTAATGTTGTTAATTGACGTAACAGTGATTTAAAAAAAAAAGGACTAATTCGGCTCCTAATGGTCGCAGGACCTTTTTTTTTTTTAAAGTTGTTGTTTTTTAAACCCGCCTTCCGAATATTTTATTGCCATTTAATTTAAACTAAATAGTACGGAGGTATTGTAAATGTTTATAAACTTAAAATGTGCTATTTATTAATAAATCATTTTGTGTACATAAACGTATTTTTTTTTAAATTTTTTTTCCACAGGATAATAATATATGTCTCATCGAAGAAAATAAGCCCCGGATTATTAAGATCCATTCAGTCAAATTAACTGGACCGGCCTTAGAAATTTGTGCATTTTTCAAAAAATCTTATAAACAAATTAAATTGTGCAAAAACTATTTGACGGATCTAGCCTATTTTTCGCACACACTTCGAACACGATGAAATCTTTAAGTTCAGATACATTTAAATAAATGTTATTGATTACTAAAAGAGTTATTAACAATAATCAAAAACAGCCGTTTTACTTGGTTATTATGCAATAACTTTTTTGTTTATTAACCGATTTTAATTTAGTATATCTCATTTTGTGTATTTTTTCTTTCTCAACAACTCGTCTGTGGACGTCAAATCTCTAAATAGACAAGTTTATAAGTTATGAGCAAAATAATAATATTGACGTATTAATTGTTTATTTAAAAATAGTTCCACTAAAAAATTCATGAATCCCTAGATGAGAGTCTTTTTGTAATATCTCATACTATCCATTTCAACTGTCAAACACGTCTATACAGTTGTGACGAAAAAACGCTTATTTTCTACTAACTTGACTCGTCTATTATCTGAATGACAACAAATAGAGTAGTAAAGACAGTTCCCCAATAGGAAGACAATCAGTAGGAAGACCAAGAAAATGGTAGAAAGACAACTTACTGGAGGCACACTATAAAACAGACAGTCATGTCTGTTTTATAGTGTGACAGATAATTTTATAGAAAATTCGTGCAAATTTTTAGTAATTCTAGAAAATATATTAGAGGTTATTTGAGATTGGGATGATACATAGTACTCCTCAATAAAAAATGCCAGTGAGAGGTAATATCTGCAGAATGTTTAGCTTTCCTCAGGAAACCAAACTTAAGCAAGCTTGCAAGTTTAAGAAATTTTTTTTAGAATTGGCTAGAGATTATCTGTATATAAAGAAGTAATATTACCAAATACTACTTACAAACATAAACACAAACCAACTAAAACCAACAGATGAGGCTATTTATAATATTTAAAAAACCGATTTAAATTTATTTCATCATATACTTATCTGTGTAGAAAATTACAGCAGATTCATTTGCAATTGATTTAGATAGTAAAAGTGCTGTTATGGAAATAAAAAATATTCACCAGGCCAATACTAATTATATTTTAACCAATACACTTAGGTACTAAATTTCAAAAATGGACAACTCAAAAATCGATGTATCTTTAATTTGGATTAAAGGGCATCTTAGATTAAAAGAGAATAAACTAGTGGACTAAGAAGCTAAAAAAGGAAGTAGAACAGGAGACTATTTAGGGTATAAAAATGTCTTCATAATGAAACTTCTTGCCACATGTCTATCACACTCTTACAACTAATAGAATAGAGAGAAATATGTGGAAACATTCAAAAAGGCAATTTACATAACAATAAAAACATTGAGACCAAGACCTTTGCCAATATTAGTTCTCAAGATTTAAGGGATATACAATTGATATATCTCTGCATTGTGCAGATTAGGGTTCAACCATGTTAATGATTGGGATTATATTGGGATAATGATTAAAACATAAGAAAATTAGTCATGTAACTTAATTCACAATTTAAAGTAAATGATTACAGTAGAAATAATATTTCTCACCTGGAAGGTCTTCCTCTGATTCATTTTTTAAGTTTTCCAGATCTATTGATGAGGATAACTGAGTCTCAATACATTGTTGGTCATATTTATCAAACTCTGTCTTAATTTCATCTTTAACATCCATAACTAATAAAAATAATAGAAAAATATCTTAAAACATGGCAATGTGGATAAATATAATTTATAGACCAAATTTATAACAAATAAAACTAAAACCAAAGAATATACTATATTCTTTGCTAAAACTACTAAAACAGTAAACAGTAGTAACCTTAACCTAACTTTAAATGACAGCGCGCTGTTGCCAATCTCACATTTTTCCCTTTTCCGACAAATATTCTTTAGAGAATAATGAGAATATGCATTGAATTGTAGTCGATTGTTTTTGTAGGCCCAGTAATTAATTCACAATAAATTAATTATTCTTGGACTTGGATATGACGCTAGCCGACACAAAAATACAAATTATATATTTTTAGATAAAAACTGATCTAAATAAATTTAAATTAAAAATTAAATATATGCAAACAAAAGCAATAAGATACTATAAAATAATTCTTGGAATTACTTCCATCACATCCGATTTTCCGCTGAAAATGCTCGCGTCTTCTTAACTACTGCTAGATAGATGATCATCTTTCTTGAAATCAAATTTCCTTTTTACTAGTTGATTTTCTTTTTTCGAAGAGATGTCTAGTGCGGAGTCGTTTTGACCTTCACCACGGTAAGCTTCTTTATCTTCTGTACATTTTGTATTGGTTTTAATTAGTTGTGCCTTGAAGGGCGAAGCAGAAATGACTAGGCTGACAAGCTTTCCGTACCTAGTTGAGGGGCCCTCTTTTTTATTTTCGTGCAGGACATATGTCGAATTGACTTGTTGCGTTCAAGGAGCTAAGGTGATGTACGACATGGTGGTGGAGTCAACCCCAGAGATGTTGACGATTCGAGAGATTCCAGAGGATGTAGATGGCTCGTCTGATCAACGGTTGTCTATCACCGGTTTCATACAAAGAAGATATGATGGTTTTTTCTTCGCCTCTTCAATATATTCTGCATCTGAGAACAAATGCATGTTAAGGGCATATATACCCGTCACCTTAAATCTGTTGATAGCAATTTGCGAGCTGTTTGACATTTGACATAGGCTTTTCCAAATAAATCCATTATATTGTAAGCGCAGAGAGCATGTTAATTTTGTGTCAGCCACAGCCTGACTTCTTCGATGTAGTAGGTTTTCAAAGTACTCATGAGAGTCCTATCCAAAGGCTTCAATTTGTATGAAAAACGGAGAGGCAGTGACACTATGGTAACACGATTTGCTCTAGCTAGATCAATGACGTCAATTTTCTGTATATGGCTTAAGTACCCTTCCAAAATAAGTAATATAGGATTTTCCTCTGTAGGAGGACACCAGTCTATGAAATATTAAAACCATTTGATGAAAAGATTGAATTGTATCCCACCAGAAGGAAGCACCGCAAATATCGTCCCAGGCAGTGCACCTTTCTTCGATTGATCATTCATATTTTTCCGCGGAAAAATTACTAGAGGAGGTACAAAAGGACCAGCAGCATTCATACAGCAGACAATTGTTTTATGAGCTCCTCTTTCTTCTGAAGTCAAAGCTTTTTCCCTTTGTTTTTATTTTTGTTTGTTTGTTTATTTTTCTACTTCATGCCGATTACTTGCACCACTTTGGATTGTACCACAGTATTTCCGCTGTCATCCTCATTATAAATTTTGTCGGGGTGAACTTTTCTTTATCGTAAACATCCTCTAAAAATCTATCGTAAAAATTCATCTGTTTGCATCATGAATGTGTTGCTTGTGTGAGTCCATTTCAAATAGGTAAAGAAATAATAAATAAGTCTTACTCACAATCAATTTAATTTAACTATCAGACGACCGGTTTCGCTTTCTACAATATGCAAAGATCTTCAGGTCTCGATACAAAGTTAAATAAATGCTGAAATGATAAAAACCCATATTAGGGTGTTGTCTAATAAAGAAAAACAAATTAGATGTTATAAATTACAATAATTATGCCAATATTACATGTCTGTGGTTTTATTTCAAAATGAGTAAATTGAACAAAAAGGTGTCTATTAGATTGTAATAAATTAATAAATGAGCAAATAAATAAACATTACTTACATGCCGGTACTCTATTAATTGATGGATGGTAGATGGTGTTCTAGTAAGTACTACTACTACTAGTCTACAGCTTACTTGCTTTTTACAACCATATTTTTTACTTCTAATAGCATCTATAGCTTCTTTCATTTTTGATGGACTCCACTCTTTCTGCTTTCGCTTTGGCTTAGGCATTCTTAAATAGAAAACCAAAAGAAAAGATATGTTATATGCAACGGAAATTGACATTTATACAATGAAAATGCAAAGTCCGATTGGAGAATCAGGAAGGCTGAGGGTCCGCTTTTTAGCCCGGAGGCCGAATTTAGGTACTTTTCTCTACTATGTTTTTTGTATGTTGAGAACGCCAAGAGGCAGAAATATGCATATCAGCCAATGGTGGTACACTGTAACAAAATCAAACCTTCTTCTTCTTTGAATACCGTGCCCAAGTTTTAGGTGTGGGTGGTTTCCATGACGATTTGCCGATATCGTTCCCGATCTTGCGCGGCATGTAATAATTCATCTGCCGATTAGCCAATCCATTGACGAAGGTTCCGGAGCCATGAGTATTTCTTCCTACCAATTCCTCTTTTTTCGTCGATCTTTCCGTTGAGTAATCTAAGTAAAACTGCATTATCCTGTAAATATCTGCTTCCTCTCATTATATGCCCCAGATATTCGAGTATATCAAACCATAACTGTCTGTTTTTATTTTTATTTTACATTCCTTTAATCTAGTATGGAGTATTAGGAAATTCTTTTCACTAAGGGATTTCTGCCTAGACGAATTGGTATACCGTGGATACAAATTATAAATCCCCGTGTCAGTGCATTTCGGTGCATTCATCGTCAGTTTTGCAATGTTAGAAAGCATAGATATAAGCACAGGATTCGAAGGGTTCTTTCTTTAGAAGCAACTATTCTTTAGATTCCTTATTTTTCTTTTCGTTTATTATCTCCAAAATTTGATCTGTCATCAAATTGTTTTTCTAATATATCGTTGTACTAGCCTTTTTACATGACACCATAACCACTGTTTTAAGAACCTGTATGATTTTTACTGGGAGAAAGACTGTCTTCCACGTACATTATTTTCAATTTGACTAATAAACTTTTCCCATGATTGTCTAAAACGTCTCCTATTTTCTTTTTATCACTTAAGGTTAAGGTAGCATAGCCTGCTCTTTAATTACAATGTTCTCAAATTCTCCAATTCATCATTTTTATCTGTTTTACTAAATGGTTGTTTCAGATATTAATTGAAAAGTCTTTGTTAAAAATTGCTATTACTTTCTTCTTGTAGCAAAAACTCTTTAAATGCTTCTTGTCTGAGTGATATTGCCTTCGCAGTATTAGCTTATAATAAAGTAATAAAATTTAAAACAATGGCACACTTAAACGGTGACAATATGCTAATATTGACCAAAAATGGAATTATTTATCAAAAACATACAAATTTGGTACATTTTAACCTTTAAATAATGTCAAAGTCGATTTGAACTTAAGGAGTGCTTCGCGAAATCCTTCAAGAAGCATCAAAATTGTCATTGTTCCATTTAGAAATGATCTCACTCGGTGTAATTTTAATACTTTTTATAATGTAGATCATTAGATGATATGTTTACCATGTTACGCACTAGCAAGTCACAATTATGTTATAAATATTTACCAGTTTTATGATAACTAAGTTCGCGATAATTGCTACTAACTTCAATGGTGTCGAGTGTTGAATAATAATCCTTATATGGTTATACTACCTTAGGTTTCCTCGTTAAGTGTTCCTGTATTGTAGCTAACCCATGTAATAAATAATACAAATAGTCAAAACCCACCATGGTCCTCATTGTACAATATTTATTAACCCGAGGCAAATCGGGAAGTATCTGCAATCTGCAATATATTTTCTGGTAACAGCTGATACTATAATAAATGCTAACCTTGATCTTTGTATCTGTTCTGAAAATTATGATGAAGGTCGTTGTAGTAACGAACTCTGTGTTACACCAAAACTGCCGGCAAATAAAACATCAAAATTATATTTTTTATACAAGGGTCGCATGAAAACTTGTAGTATAAAGTGGACGAAGTGAAATGTCAAGACAACGCTTTCATTTTCAACAAATTTTAGACTTTAATCATTATTGGATCCAAAAACATAAAACTAGTTTGTATGCGGCTCCTCCATAGCAATATAATACAAGACAGACTGACTACTGCACAATACAGTCGTGGTGGTCCCGTTCTCTTAGTGCGACAGAGAAAAATGACGCAAAGTAGTCCCCGCATCTCTGTCTAATGGACCGGATTTATCGACCAGTGACCTTCTCATTGGTTATTTAGGTCACGTGATCGATGGTCGATAAACCTGACAAATTAGAAAGATATGCAGGGACTGCTTTGCATCAGTTTTCTCTGTCGCACTAGGGGAACGGGCTGGTATTGCAACAATCAGTCTATCTTAAATTATAAGTATATGAGCTCCCCAAAGTCTTAATGTTAACCCCGCGGTTAATTCTTTGCTGCTTATCTTCTTTCTCTCTTGCTTTTTCTTCGTCTTTAGTTAATAACCTATTTGCTTCATATTTCGTTATCATTTTTGACCAACGTGTTGGCATTTCGGTCTCATAGCCCAATTTCATGCATATATTGTTTTCTTTCTTCTTTTTTGAACGTCGGATTTTGTAGGAGATTAAGTCACGGAAGCGTAGGTAATAATTTTATTAAAGGAAATGCATTGTGTGAAAATTTTATTTTTGCCCTCTAAAAACTGATTTTATCAATAATAATTTGGTAATGGACCGTATATCAATACAAGACCTCACGCTTTCAAATTGTATTAATTGATTTAGATCGTTATTACCATCACTTGTAGCATCTTTAGTTCTGCGTTGCTGCATATGCGGTTCCCCAGAGTCTTCTCGATAGTCCAGGTTATGACGGTAAAAATAGTGAAAACCTCTGAATTTTTTTATATGCATTGATTTGCTTGAAATTTTGACAGTAGTGGCAACAGTAGTGATTCTATGGCAATATGTGCTTTTCCTCTGGGTTAGTAACCGCCGCAACTCGGGGATAAACACTATTCTAGCGACTACTATGTTTTCTTCATTTTTCTGTTGCTTTTTC